GGGACCCTACCTCTGAAGTGTTGGAGGCAATATATGAGAGCAGTTAATGGGCTTTTAGAGATCTCTGTAAAACTCTGGCTGTGGCTTTCTCTGTGGCGGTGCTGCTGCTGTGACCCTGTTAAAAAGATAGCCAAAGGAGGAGAGAAGAAAGCTCTCTGAGAGTGCTAGCTGCTTATCCTAAGTCGATACTGAAGAATAGCATTTTATCTTGCATCTAAAAGGTCTGATTTCCAAAAGTGCCAAACATCCGGTACTCCTTGTCTGTAAAATCCTGGCTTCAGTGAAAGCGGTGGCAGAGTTTGCTTGCAGAAGGAGTTGTGTACTGCTTGCACCTCACAAACAGGGATGCAAGAGCTACTTTCCGGCTCCTACCCATAGGCCTTTCAGGGGCATGCTTGTTTTTAGCAGTGGCTTGTCCCAGTTCTTTTGAGAAGTGGAAGTGTCCTGGTTTTGTCTGGAATAGAGTTCATTTTCGTCATAGTAGCTGGTATAGTGCTAAAGTTTTCGAATTTAGTATGAGACCAATGCTGATACCACGCTGATGTAGTTGTTGCTAAGCAGTCAAGAACTTGCAGCTTCCCGTGCTCTACCAGGTGCACAAGAAGACGGGAGGGAGCACAGCCAGGACAGCTGGGCCAAGCTGGCCAAAGGGATATTCTGTACCATATGACATCATGCTCAGGATATAAACTGGGAGAGTTGGCCGGGGCGGCATGATTGCTGCTGGGGAACGGGCTGGGTATCAGTCAGCGAGCGGTGAGCAATTGTATCATATATCACTTGTTTTGCATTTTCTTTTGTTGTTGTTATTTTTTTTCTTTCTGTGCTATTAAACTGTCTGTATCTCAACCTACGAGATTTTTTTTATTCTCTTCCCCATTCCGTTGGGGCGAGTGAGCGAGCAGCTGCGTGGTGCTTAGTTTCAGCTGGGTTAAACCACGACAGGAAGAAATCTTACACTGACAGCTTGGTCACAGGCCATGAGGTGTATTAGAGTAGAGAGTTCCAACTCAGCTGCTCGGGTGTTGTCTGCATTAGAAATCATTGATTATTTGAACGTTTGACTGAGGGATGATAAATGTGACTTTTTGTGATAAGTGAAAGTGGTAAATTGGCGCTGTAATGTGTTCAGGATTTTATAGTGCAGCAAAAAGGAGTGAGCCTCTCGGGGGTGCTAAAATGAGCTACAGGGTGTTTATATTTAGTTTCTTAACCGACATTCAAACTACTAGTATATTTTGGAAACTTTTGATGTTTTTTTATGTAGATGATTTAGTGATTGCTGGATGTTGAGGTGTATGTATCTGATCAAAAAAAAAGGTCAAAATGGTCCTTTTGGTATCAATTTAGGTTATGTCAGTTAATAGTGAAGCATGTTTTGGGAAACTGATCAGATTAAAGACATGAATGGAGAAGTCATGTGCTATCAGTTTTGAACTTTGGTGTATCTTTTAACTACAGTTGTTCTTTCTTTTTATACTTAAAAATATTTTTTTTTAAGTATTGCAAAATGTTTTGTAATTGTTTTGTGAGTAGACCCTGGTATGATTTTTTAGGAGGACAACTTAGATCTATAATTTTCAGCTTTTAAAGATTTGTGAGTCCTCTGGAGATTGTTTAGTGAATTTAAGCTTAATGACAAAAGATTTGATTCTCTTATCTTTCTAAGACTCTTAATAGCTTCTGAACCTCCAGGGATCTCTGGTTAAAAGTGGAAAGCTACTGATGTAAGTAGGTATTGGTGGCCTCAAGTGGCAAAAATTGTTTTTCAAGGGCTTTATTAGTTTTCTTGGACATGTGAGACTTAAGCAGAAGCTGTGTCAATAGACCTTACCAATGTTACATCTTTTAAACTAAGTGATGTGTAGTTAGTGTTGTCTGTAGAGGATATTCTCCTGGAGAGCTAGAATCAAACTGAAACTGGTGATATTTGAGTTAAGACGCATCCATAGGTCCAGTTTGGATTGGGTTTATTTATTTGTTTTCTAATGGAAGCATGTTGGGGAGGGAAGAAAACTTTGTCCTGATTAACTTTGTTCATTCTTTAAGTCATACTCAAAGCTTGCTGTTTTCAGCTGGTGTCACTAATCTTAGCTTGGGAACAATTGAGTCTTTTTCCCTTTTTTTTGATCATATTGAAAGTAAAATGAAACTCAGGATAAGCACAAAAAATAACAACATTAGTGACTGGAGTTCGTTGTAAGTTGTTTCCAGCCAGTTTATTTCTTCTCCTTGTTCCTTTTGTGTTCTTTCTTTTCTGCTTGTGGTCTGTCACTTCTTATTATGATTGCTGCCACAAATTCTTTAAGGGAATTATTCATTTAGCGAAGACAGCAAGATAAGTACAGAAGAGACACTACACATAAAACAGAATATGCCTTTATTGTATTATTCATTAAGATGCTCATCAGTGTCTCTGTGTAAGAAGCTGTCTAACAGTTGCATGCTTGTTAGAAGTAGCGTTTTGCCAGTCATTCATTTTGATCCAGGTGGAACGAGCATTTCTCACTTCTGGTTTGCCAGGTTGCCCTTCAGAAGTGAAACAAAGTGGCAGTGGGCATTTTCTGCAGTAGATAATGCCAGAATTGTTCTTGATATGCTAATTTAAGTGTTGGAGGAATGGGAGGTTGCTAGGGCCAGATGCTGTTCTGCTTTGGAGTTGGGGTTTCCCTTGAAAAATAGTAGAATGAGCTGTGCTGCTTCCTGTTTACCTGTTAAAATTTTCTCTCTGTAGCTCTGGAACAGCAGCCATTTATTTCCAAATGCAGAAGAAGCGACTCTCTTCTTGGGGACATTGGACACTATCTTTCTGTTTTCCTATGCTGTGGTGAGTAAAACTAACCCAAAGCTCCTAAGCTTTCATTGAATCTTATTAGGATGATCACACCCACGTTTGGAGGGGATGAACAGAATCTTCTTCTTGGACTTGCCTAGCACTAATGCAGTTAAAAACCTTAGTTCAAGAGTTGGATTTTTTTTTTTTCCTTCAATTTCTGTTAGTTCTGCCCGTGCCTGTCCCCTGTGTAACGGTGCTTGTTAGCAACTGCAAGAGAAATACTGTCACTTGGGAATTCCTCACACCCCTATTACCAGAGGGTGGGAGGGCTAGTTCTAGCTTTCCAAGAGTTATGAATTGAAATTTTTTAAAATAGGAAGTTTAATTATTAAACAACTCAATTTAGCGAGCAAGGTTTCTTTGGGGGCAGAAGAAGTGGTTAGAATCAAACTGTAAGTTTGTATAACAACGTTTGGGCCAGCTTGACCCGTCAGCATCATTTTAATTGTTGCAGATAACAGATGTGAATCTTGTGGCTTTATTTAATGCTGTGTTTTGTTCTTAGGGTCTCTTTGTCAGTGGTATAGTTGGGGATCGCCTGAATTTACGCTGGGTTTTGTCTTTTGGCATGTGTTCCTCTGCTCTGGTGGTAAGTCAGAACATACTAGTGTGGTTTAGAAATATCTCTCTTAGGATTTCTGGGTAGAGTTTTACTTTAGGGGAGAAGAGGCTCTGTGTAGCTGTACTTCAGTGGTCTCAAAGTCTGTGTGTAAAACTTTGTCCTGGATGCACTTACTGCATTGTCTTAAGCATAGCGCTCCATGAGATGACTCACCTCTTCCTGAAATATCTATTTATGGTTACTGTGTCAGAAGGAAATTCCTAAGCGTGAGGCACTGTCTAGAGACTTAATGAACAGCTCTTGTAGGAGATTGGGGAATTTGGACTTTTTGAGACTGTGTTGTGTTATAACTGTTCTCCCAGCCCACATATGTTGTTGTCAAGGCTTTTGCTTCTAAACACAATCTTTACTCTCTTCTTAAAGGACACACTAACAATACCAAGCACTCATTTTGTTATTTTGTAATTGCTGGGAGGGAATGTATCAAAAAAGAATGTCCTCTTAAAACAAAAGAGTTCTTCAATTTCAAGCCACTGCAGATAAGCGTGAATCAGTTTTATCTCATTGTGGTTTTCTGGTTATTAAAGTAGTGGTAAAATGTGTGGAGTGCTTTGATTTACCCAGTGACTACAAACCCATTATGGCCTTTTCCGTTCTGCAAACACATGACCACAGCCATGCATCAAGCACAGTGTGCCACAAAGTGTGTTTATTTTGGCTAGTTTGGGTTAGGGCTCTTAGTAATTTGAGACCTGGCTGTTGTATTTGTGTTAAATTTTGCTAAGATAAATGACTGCTGATGGTTTTGTGTTTGCACAGAGCCTTGTGGATTCAGATGTCAGTACAATAGCAGATCAAGAGGCTACTGTATTTTTAGCATTGTTACCTCAAAGTATTTGTCTCTTTCTTCTCCTCTCCTGTTGTAACGGTGCTGTTTACGAAGATAAAAGTCTTTTGGAGTGGAAGTGCCATGACAGCACATCTGTGTCTGGAGTTGCTGGGCTCTGGAGTCAGTGCTGTGTGGCTCAGCAGAGGGTGCTGTTAGCTCTGAGCTGTTCCTTAAACAATGCCAGACTTGCCCCTGGCCTGGGCCCTACCTGGGACCTTCTCCCTGAAATGTTATTTCTTTTTCAGGATGCCACTCTTGCCTGGCTTTCAGGACTAGCCTCAGGGTTTCTTCTCTGTTGTTTTTGTTCTTTTTTTCCTCCTCTCTAGGTGTTCTTCTTTGGCACGCTCACAGAATGGTTGCATTTCTACAACAAGTGGTTCTACTGCTGTCTCTGGATTGTGAATGGCTTGCTGCAGTCCACTGGTTGGCCCTGTGTGGTTGCTGTCATGGGCAATTGGTTTGGAAAAGCTGGGTAAGTTGAGTTTTCTTCAGTGAATCACTTATCAGACCTGTTGAGTAGCAGATTGACCTGAAAGTCTTGAAGCATAAAAGCCAGCTGTTAGGTCAGAATTAAAGTTATGTGGGATGAAATATACCTTACTTGTTACTGGTTTTTTGTTTGTTTGTTTTTTCTGGAGCCACAGAACAGCTTGATGTGAACACAATCGTATGTGTTAAAGACACAGGTTCAAACTTCAAAAGTCATGTAGTGCAGAGTGGCTGAATTTGAATTTTCATGCCACCGGAAAATTTGTTTCTGTTTGCATACCACTGAGGAGATGGAATGGAAACTGACTCATTGTAGGTTCATCTCCATCACTTTGGGGTATCGCAGATGAGCTCTAACCATAGCTTGTAACCCTGTTGTTGCCTGTTCACCTCTGCTGTAACACAAGCATTTCAGGATAGAACACTCCTCACTTATCTATTTGGTACCTCCAAATAATGTTTTGTTTTAAGTGAACTTTGAGTCTCTTTGAAGTGGACTGGAAGAATTCTGTAACCTTATTCATAAGTTAAAGTTCACTCAAATGTTAAATCTTTGTCTTACTCCTAATGTCACCTCTTCCCACGTTGCCATTTTCAAGTTTTCTTCCCATTCTGCAGGAGAGGTTTTGTGTTTGGACTCTGGAGTGCCTGTGCATCTGTGGGAAATATCCTCGGGGCGTTCCTTGCCTCCTGTGTTCTCAAATACGGCTATGAGGTAGGTATTGTTGTCTGGCTTCCAGCTAGGACTGCATGTCTGATTGGGTTATGAGAGACTAGTTTCTTATCCTGTTTCTGAGAGATAACAGACTCGGAGTCTCCAGTTTCATCTTCCTGAATTCTGTGGTAGCAAGCAGTAGGCAGAATAGAAAGGATATTCCTTTCCTGACCTTTCCAAGCTGGGAGAAATGAGCCTGAGACTTCTCCAGAAATGGGACTGATGTTATTGAAGATCTCTATTGTCATAGTATACACGTTTCTGATGTGGGTGACTTAAAGTGCTTTTCAGAGTCATCCATCACAGATTCTGACTTAACTGAAGTCACCACTGCTGAATAGCCGTGAGGTTCTGACAGGCATGGAGGCATAAGTTCTATAACTGGGAGGAGGCCCGGTACTCACTAGGTTGCTGTAACACCAGTTGAATACAGGGAATGTAAGTGAACCAGTGCATCTTGCAGCGTGTGACCTATGAGGACAGGCTAACAGAGCTGAGCTTGTCACTCTGGAGATGAGGAGGCTTAGGGTACCAAATAGCAGCTTTCCAAGCCTGTGAGAAGATTGCTGAGAAGTCAGAGCCAGACTCTTTCCTGGGTTGTGTGGTGGGAGAGCTGCAAAAGCAGTGGGTATAAAGTGAAGCAGTGGCAGTTCCAACTGGATGTTTGGACAACTATTTCACTTGGAAGTTAGTTAAGCATTGGAACAAGGGGCCAGTGCCTGGGAGATCTGTCTCTGGAAGATTTCAAGACCTGATTGAGCAAAGCCCTGAGCAACCTGGTCTGAATTTGGTGTTTGACCCTTCTCTGAGAAGTCCCTTCTGATATAGCTGGATCTATGGGTGAGCACCTTTCTCACTGCTGTCACCTCAGTACAGTAAACCAGCTGTTTCCATGTGGTCTTTCAGCCTGGATAGGACTGAGTGCTCAGGAGATGTAGAGATCACTTGTTTCTCAGTTTTGTGGACGTAGTCTGGGTGGTTGTAGCTGTGTTTACTCTCTGACAAGGTTGGAATGTAAAGAAACCCTCATTAGTCAGGGAAACCTATGTGTCTGAAAGTGTTTTAAAAAATAATCTTTTATTTCTCTTCAGTATGCTTTCTTGGTGACTGCCTCAGTACAGTTTGCTGGAGGAGTCATTGTCTTCTTTGGGCTCCTGACGTCACCGAAGGAAGTGGGTAAGTAGAAGTTGGCTGTAGCATTTCAGTCCCTTCATGGAAAGCAGATCTGCAGCTTTCCGTGTAGTACTAAAAGTTCTGCATGTTCTGACAGCACTTATCCTCAGGGCTCGTGTAAAACGGTGTTGCACTTCAGTGTATTTAATGGAGCAAAATGCTTTGCTCACCAAGATCACACTGAATGCCACTGTGCATCATGTGTCTAGGGTCTGGATATTTTAAAAAGCAAAATAAACCAGCCTGGCTCTTACATCTCCATTAGGATATGCCTAATTATCAGTTTTTCTTCACCTGGAAAATCAGTATATTTTTTAAAGAAACAGTAGGCAAGCTGATAACTGAAACTAGGGGAAAATTATGGCAAACCCTAACTGTGCCGTGGGAAGGAAAAGGACTTTTTGTCTGGAGGTCTCCCGCAGCTGGTTAAATAGCTCTCAGGTTGGATATGATCCTTCTCCGAGAAGATGGTAGGCAAGCCAAAGTATAATGGGAAAACAAAAGAACTTTTGGGCTTTGACAGGGCCATGGAGGAGGTTTCCCAGACGCCTGCAAAGGCTATAAAGTTGGTAGCGCTAAAGCTACCATAAAGAGTGCTTGTAAGAGCACTCAGCAGCCCCGAAAGCGCAGTGCAGTTCCCAGGGTTTCCGTTCCAGCAGAGGCGTTAACAGGCAGCAGCTGTCTGAGTAGCTGCTGGTGCACTCCGCCTCCACGCTCAAGGGAGGTGGTACCCAGGAGCCAGGTCCGAGGATCCCATCCTTATTTAAGGGGGGTAATGCACTAATTTGTTGTGTCTTCCAACTAATGGCCAGACACTCAGAACAGACAAAGCCGACGCCAGGATCAGACAGAATACTTTCAAGAGCGCTAGAAGACAAAGGGTAGAAACTGGCGACACTGCAGAACACCATCTAGAAGAGTTGCTAAGCCAAAGGAGGATGGAGGTATGGGAGAGCAAGGGAATTGCTAGAAGGGAGAATTGCTTAAAAGAAGCGAGCATAGCTTTAGAGTGGGGAGAGGGTCATCAGGCTGTGGTCTGTTCTTCCTGTTGCATATCCCTTGTCAAACTTAGGCCTCCCTGAGCTTGGAGCAGATGAAGACGACAGTGTGGAGGAAGATGCCAACAGACCTTTAATGGACAATGATGATGGAGATGATGATGACCGGAATTACTCTATTCAAGCAACTGACATTGACAACCAGCCAAAGGCCATTGGCTTTTTCCAGGCTTGTTGCCTTCCGGGTGTAGTACTGGTGAGGACATGGATTCTTGAGTGGGATCTGACTTACACTGTTAGGCATAAAGCTGGCTTTTTGTGTCGTCAGCATTTGTTGACATCATCGTTAATATGTTGACCGTGTGTTATAGTTGTTGACATCTGCCTTCTTAATGCTGTTAAAACCGTGGGGGTGGGACTGTTATCCTTGTGCACGTGGATTATAATACTGTCCAGGTATGTGATTGCATGTTGCTCTCCCCATCGGACTCCTGCTTCATTTAGTGCATGTAATGAGCCAACCAAGGGCAGCAGAGATCCTGACCTTTTTGCTGCTGAGGTCAGAAGGGAGGCTGTGAGCAAAGGTGGCTTGTAGGGTGCTTTCTTGGTAAGGTGGCTGTGCTGCCCTCAGGAACGGGGTTCTCACTGCTAGCTGAGCATCACAGACCTCTGTGGGGTTTGGGTTTTATTTAGTTGCCTTAAAGCAGAAAGCTGGCCTGAAAAGCCTTAATCAGCATGATGTAACATCTGGCAAAGTAGGCGGGTTTTTTTTTTATAAGCAACTGGAAACAAGGCCTGGTGACGCAGTTTCCACATATCCTCATCCTGTCTGTTGTGTGAGAACTTGTACTTCTGCATCAGCATTGTTGCCCAATTCATGGATTTGGTTCAGCTGAAAAATTGTCCTGCCATTGAAAAACAATGTTAACTTTCTGTGTTGGGGGGCTGTGTGCCCCCTGAATACTGAAACCAGTAGAAGAAAAGGGGTGGGGTGGCTGGCTCAGTAGCACAGTGTGAACTGCCTGGATTCGATCGCGAAGCAGAACTAGTGAAGGGACAGTATTGTCAGGTACCCTTAATGAGTAAAGCAGCTGGTGGTTGTGATTAAGGCAGCACAAACTGTAGAAGGGATGTGTGGATTGCCAGTGTTCAGCGTGCTGGGCAGCCACAGTTCTGTTGTTAAGACCTGGGTTGAGGGATGGCAAAAGAAGGTGTACCCATCTTGAGTTCTTTTCTAATATGGCTAAATGCCATATAAACTACAGCTCGGTTTTGGTGGTGCTAGGAATGGACTGATGTACAAAGAACTTTTAGGCAAAATTTTTTAGTGGTGGCAGCTGCCTCGGTTGATGTGTGACTTTTTTCTGTTGGCCAGAATATAAGGAGCTACTAAACAACTGATGTTGCTGTTGCTGTGCTTGAGATTTTGAGGAACTGTTCTGTGTGTTAACCCAGCAACGTGAACACCTCTGAGTCTGTGAATTTTATCTGATGTCAGATCAATGCCCCACCAAATTAGGACACTATGTCAGATCAGTGAGAGACCAAACACCGAGACAACTTCCAAAGCCTTGTCAAGATTCTACAAAGATTTTACTTGATGTATTTTTTTTCTGTAGTTCCTCTCTTCTGCTGCTGAGTGATATGGTGGAAGAGTTTTAGTACAGACGGCTTTCCCCTGAGCCTCTAGAAATTCAGTGTTTGTTCACTCAGACAATCTGGTAGGCAGTTTCTAAGCAGACTGTAATAAATATCGCTTCCTACAGTACACTTTTCACACCGAGAGGCAGGAGAACTCTACCAAACATCCCTGTGCCTTAAGTGTATGGTGGAGATTAGTTTTTGTCCTGTAAGAGTGAAAAAGCATTAATAACAAAAGGAAAAAGAATGTATCTGTTAAAATAATATAAATTCGGGAGAGATGATTTTGTGCAGTTTAATATATAAAAGATCTGCTTTTTGAAATTCAAAGACAAGTGTGTACATACCCATATACATACAGTCTCAAAAGCTGTGATTCTGACAAGCTGGTTTTTAACATCTTTTTCCTTGTTTACCCCTTCAAATAAGAGTTCCTTGAACTGCCATGACAGTGTTTATCAGGAGGCCTTACTGAAATCTGTGCCTGGTCCCTCCGCGTGCTGGGCCAGCAATCCCAGAGAACAAATCTTTGCCACACACATGAAAGCTCTAAAGGAAGAGATTTCCTGCTAGCTAAGGAGAACTCGAGCTCAGCAGCCAAAAGCAGGAGGTTGTCTCAGCCGTTGGGTTTGGAAGCACGTGCTTAGCTTTGGCCAAACCTTTCATCTTGTGTCCTGGAATACCTGCCTGGGGATTATGAACGAAGCTTTCTCTTCTGGTGCTGCAAGCAGATGAGCCTTCTCTGCAGCAAAAGATAGCACAGAGGAACTACTGCACGTAACTTTTCTCAGCATGGTGCACAGATGACTAAATCTCAAGCTTGTTTCATGTCCCATGGTTGGCTCCCTTCTCTTCAGAAGGTGAATTAAATTTCCTTCGTTTTTTGAAGCCTGGTGTCGTTTCTTCTCGAGATTACGCTGAAAGTATTTTAACCTGTTGCATTCAGTGAAAAGAAAATAACCTTCTTGTCAGTGATTTTTGTATTCCTGGGTTCCCTTTGATGTTCAGCATTAAGCTGTCATAATGCTGCCTTCTTACGTGAAGTGCAGAACCACTTTCCCCTGAAACCTTTAGTTGGATACAGAGCTTTATGGGAAGAAGCAGAAGTGCTGTTTGCATTTCTCAAGTGCTAACTGCTTGCTCGCCCTCTATTCCAGTACTCTTTGGCCTATGCCTGCTTGAAACTGGTGAATTACTCGTTCTTCTTCTGGCTGCCCTTCTACCTCAGCAACAACTTTGGATGGAAAGAAGCAGAAGCTGACCAGCTCTCTATCTGGTATGATGTGGGAGGAATCATAGGTGAGTGAGCAAGTCAATGACTTCTTCCTGCAGTTGCCCTGCTAGCGTTTGAAAATGAAAGACAACAAATGCTGCTCAGAGCAGTCATGTTCAGTGGGATCCAGCTGTTTACTGAATGTATGAAAAGTCTAGTTGTCTATGTGGCTGCTTGGCTGTTGTCCTTTTTTCTGAAACACAGAGTATGTGAGCCCCCTAAAGAGGTTACATGTAGTTTAAACGGCACTATATTCTTGGATGTTACCCTCAGCGGGCATTTTTCTTTACTCACTAGGACTTCTTGAAAAGTGCCGTGTACAAAATGGTGTTCCTGCTGCTTTCTTTCTGACAGGTACCCTTGAGGGAGAGTTTAGATGTGGACTCACTGGGTTCTGTACTGTCCCTTCTGTCCTGTATTTTTAAAGAACAGACTTGGCGCAGATCTCAGCGGAGCAGGCACAACTGTGTTATGTTCAGAAATAAAATGTAATTGCACTTCTTTCTGCTGGCTGCAAAATCTGACCCTGTTCCTCCAGAATAAAGAACATATTGTATGTGTGTTTAGACTTCCACTCTCCTGTGCTTGGTTTCTTGCTTTATTACCTTGTCCAGTTAGCTTTCCTAGAATAGACATGCTTGTTTTGGTCTGTTCAGGGTCAGGTTTTTTTGCCTCTGTGGCCTTTTCTGTGTTAGGCTTTCTAAACATTCTAGTTTTTACCAGCAGAGCAGTTCCTACAGAGGTAGCAGTGACACATAAGGTGATTTTTATCAGCTATTGGCATTTGTCGCAATTAGTTGCACCTACTCTAAGTAGGTGAGACAGCAGGGAATGTGAGGCCCCTGTGTGCTAATGTTTTCCCTGTGAAAAAGAACTGCCTTTTCCTGCACTTTCTGTTAAAGAAACCAGCCACAATGTTAAGCTTGCTTACCTCCAGAGCTGTGATGATCCTATAGGGGAAGGAAAAGGAAAGCCAGGAGCATTGGCTAGTTGTGTGCCAGAAAAAAAGAAGTAATAAATTCCTGGGAAAGCAGTGTGAGTAGTTTTCCCTGCTCTGTCTGAGCCACTTAAGTTTACTGTTGTCTCTGTGTCTGAGGCAGTAAGGGCAGGAGACTTAGTTTTCAGGATTTTAGAGAGAATGCGAATTGATGAGAAGGCAAGAGGCCACTGCACTCAGTGAAATGAGTTTTGTTCAAGGTGTTAGCATCCTGAGCCTGATGATGATTTATTTTTTTTGCAGGTGGGACCATCCAGGGCTTGATTTCTGATGTGCTACAGAAGAGAGCCCCAGTGCTAGCAATTAGCCTGCTCTTTGCTGTAGGCTCTCTTTTTGGATACAGCCGTGAGTATGCTTTTGCTGCACAGTGATAAGAGGCTCATTCTTGGAGAGAACCAGAGCACAGCCTGTTCTAATTATGTTTTCTGGTCTTGAAACTGCTTCTGGATCAGGATGGTGCCTTTTGGTCTATTTTGCCTGAAGTGTGGCACTGCGCAGAAATAAATCTGTTCTCTGGTTAATGAGGTGGAAAATAATTCGCTGATTGTTTGGATTTCCCTGTACCAGTGAGTTATGGTACTGATCCTTCTCCGTTGTCAGAGAGATTTTTTGGCATTGTCACTGTATTAACACCACAACTGGCAGAGCAGGAAATCTCAGGTGCATTTCTGTAGTAAAGAGGAAAGAGAATCTGGAGACAGATATGTGGTGGAGCTCTTAGACTTCACCACTTATGCTTCTGCAAGTGGTGAAACTGAAGAGTTTCTGCCTCTTTTATGATACATATAGTTCTCGGTGATGGGTTCCTGAGAGAAGTCTGTCAGGAAAACTGAGTAGAAGGAGACAGGCAGATCTCACTTCTGTGAAGCTCTTCTGAGGGTAACAGTTTTGTGTCTTCAGACATGGTGTCCTGTGGTACCAGAGTGCTTTAACTCACTGGGATGTCATTTCACTTCTCTGCTTCTTCCTCCAAAACGGGGTGGCAATACAGACCAGCTTTTATTGAGCACTTTAAGATGTGTGGACAGAAATCGCTACCAGAGCTGGACACGAACGGTAAAGTGTGCCTTTCAGAAGCATGCTGGCTTGTTCAGACATTCTCAAAGTAAGGTCAATAAGTTATAATCATTAAATAGCAAGGACTGGGTTTAGTGGAGCTTGGTGAAGTTTTGTAGGTTCTTGTGCTAACTCATTACTTTCAAAAGTGAATGGGAAGCAAATATAAAATTATTGCTGATGAAGTTCGAAGTTTGCTCTCGATAGCAGAGCAGTCAGAGGTCCAAGTGTCTTGTGGTTAGCCCTGTCCAGCCAGATAGGGAAGGGTCACACAGGTGATGCAAAGTTACTGCAGTGTGATGATTAAATTTCCGTCAGCCAAACCAGGCTCATAGCGTGTTGCACCTGAGAGTAATAATGGTCTGAGAATATGTGAAGAGGGCTGCAACCTGCCTTACACATGGTAACTTGACCATGCATGGGCCCCGAGTTGAAGCAGTGAGTAAGGAATTCAGGTGATGCCTGGAAGTGAGGTTTTGGGAAAAACAGTGTCTGAAAAGCACTGAGAGACTGTAGTAGAAAACCAGCTGCGTCTGCACAGTATGATGCTGTTGCTGGAAAGTTAAGCAGAACCTATAGATACCCGAGCATGGCTTTATAAGGAGGAGTGAGGATATGGGATTTTACTTTTTTTTTTTTACTTCTTTTTTTTTTTGTTGTGCAGCATTGTTTAGGTAGTTGCTGGATTACTACATCCAGATCTAATCTCTGTATTTTAAAAAAGATTTTTGAAAATTCAGAACGAGTGGAAGAGTGATTCAAGTGGCGAATACTTTACAACGGGAGAGATTTGAGTCAAATTTCCCCAGAGAGGCAGAGGAAGGATTCTCTTACTGTTCACATGGACTTTCAAGGAGGATAAATGCAAGCTCTGTGTCATAGGAAGAGGCATAATAAGGGCTGGAACCCAGATCCAGGCAAATCTGATATCTAAAATGGCACAAAATTTTAATGGCAAAGGTGACTTTTCTACTGTAAAGTACTGTCAAGAAACTTCAGGGTTTTTAGTCCCTAAATGCCTTTGCAATAAGACTAATCTCGGTAGAAGTCTCTAGTCAAATAGAAGTTTTTGTTGTCACTATGTAGCTACTTGAACATTTAGTTCAAACTAGATGTTTGCATGCTTCTTTCTGATCCTAAATAAGTAAGTTTGTTTTATTTACACTCATCTGATCTTTCTTTTGCAGGTTCTCCAGACAGCAAACCTATCAATGCGGTGATCATGGCAATTACAGGTATCTTACCAAATACCACTGTTATGCTAGGAGGCTTATATATGCTTTGCAGAAAAATCTGTAACACTGGCCTCAGGTGGTGGTAATGCATCTGTGTGTGCTGCCATCTCCCCTGGCTCTACAGAAAGAGTAAAAGCTGGGGCCCAGTCTCTATTGCTTTTGGAATACAGGTGTAGGAAAACTGCCTCACAGAGGGAGGTATAGAATATAGACTGTAGAATAATGGCTTGGAACTGAAGGGGTCTGCCTTGGCTCGGTATGATGAGGATGGATTTATGCCAAAATACCAGTGATCTGGTATCTGAGGCAGCGTATATATGGCGAATTCATGAGCTGCAGCTCAAATTTGAGGGTGTTTGTCTGTCAGAACCCCTGTGTACTGTGGGAGGTCACCAGCTTTGTGTGCTACCAGACATACTATGCTGTGTTATGGAATTAAGATTAGCCTGCATGAATAGAGCCTTTCTTTTCAAACATTCCTACTTCAGAACTCTCTGTCCTGTTGCACTTTTATTTTCCCCTTCCATCTCCTTCACCTAGAGACTGAGGCAGTAGCGTGGGGATATACTACTCCAAAGTAGAAATATGTCTAAACCTGCTTCATGTTGGGGGTTCGTATATGCACACAGTTCAAAAGTAGCTTTCCGTGTTCAGTTTGATGTGTCCTGACTCTTCTTGCAGACCATGTCCCACCTAATTACCTTGTTTTTGTTATTGGATGAAAATATGCTTGTTGGTAATTTCTGTGCATGTACTCCAGGGACACAAGGTGTGCTGTGACCGTGTGCTTCAGCTGTGAGGGTGCATTTCTACCTACAATTAGTCTGTGATCACTGTCCCTAGACTTAATCCTTTTCTTGAGCTTTGCATGGTAAAAAAAAAAAAAATAAAAAAAATTCCGTGTTTTGAAGATGTCCTGTTGAGAATCTATCCTCAATGCTTGTTTTGCATAAGGCTGTTTTCTTGGCACTTTCAGGATTTTTCATTGGAGGCCCTTCTAACATGATCAGTTCTGCAATTTCTGCTGACCTGGGGCGCCAGGATCTAGTGAAAGGCAGCAGCGAGGCTCTGGCAACAGTCACGGGAATTGTGGATGGAACTGGCAGTATTGGTGCTGCAGTGGGCCAGGTGAGGCTACCAAAGGAAAACAGAGGTCTGGGGAAGGAGGCAAAGAGTCTGTTGTGGTTAGAGGTGTTAGCTTATTCCTCAATCCAAAGTTGCATGGAGGGGGGGAGAGAGAGAGAAAGAGAGAGAGGGTTGGGGTTGGTTTTTTTTATAAATTATTTATTAAGAAACAACCAAAGGATCATGTGTGATTTAAGCTTCCAGTGGAAGGAGTTTAATTAAGAACTAAGCTAAGTGTTCATAGTGCTAATGTTATGGCACTTTCATAATTGAAATTAATTCATATCCTGAACTCCAAAAAGCAAGCAAAGGTCAGCTTCACAAAGAGTAAAAATAAAATATTTTGAAGTTTGTTTGGTATTTTTTTCAAAGGTAATAGCAAAACTTTTGCTTACAGAAAAGTTTACGTATATGACCGAGTAAAATTAGAATACCCATTATGAATGTTGCAGTGTTTATAAACTAATCTAAAATTTGCTCTTATTTGTGGTTCTCCTTTTTGTCTGTGGATGTCTTTTACACCTTGTAAATCCAGCACCACTTGCTTTGATAGTTCTTGCAGTGTGCTGCCAGAGGTCTGAAGACTACACTGTTGCAGAAAAGGAAGCTGAGGGTGTGCCCTCTGGGGGCATTTTTTCTTCTCAAACACAAGCGTTAACTATGTGGAAGGACACAGTGGTGCTTTGGAGAGGGGAGGGTTTAGTAGAAATATTGGAGCCAGTTCTGTTCCAGGCATCCTCTAGTGCTGGTAAAATACCAAGGATGCAGGCAAGGCATACAAATTTCTTTTCTGGAAATGAGTTTGGGTTTGTACTTGCCATTGATTGCCTGATAAATAGAATCGTTCAGCCTCTGTTCCGTAGGAAAGATGCTGCTTAGCTCCATTAAACATGAAAAATTACAAGTGCTTTGTGGACATCTTAAAGTGCACCGCTACACTCAATGCCCTTCTTGCGTTGTCTACAGTGTTTCTGTCTTCCCCCACACATACCATTCAAACTTACGTCATCATAAAAATTGGGTCTTTAGTTCTGAAAAATTCCACCTACCTCCCATTCTAACATTGCATTTATTTCAACAGAGACAACCATGATGTCATTCTGGGGGTGTGTGAATCACAGCGAAGGCACAATGAACGTGTTAGAAATTCAGATCCTGTTTTGGGCTAATATACCCAGTAGTGAAGAAGGGAGGCCCTTGTGCAGCATCTGAATATAAATCTGCTAATAGGGAATACATTTTCTTTTGTAGCCTGCCTAGTCCTGTTGCACTGGGATGCAGTTCAGAGCAGACTGTAGTCTCAAGTGTCTTGCCTACGATGAAGGGTTAAGTAGTTAGTGGCTGCACAGCTCTTGAAAATGCATCCTGTGTAATTTATAAGCCATTCTAGAGCTTTTAGTTCTTCTGAGAGTACTTACATCCACTTATGTCCCAGTGTTCTGTGCAAAAACGTTGTGTTCAGTGGAGTCAATTTGTCACCTTTTGAAACCGTAGTTCAGTTGTGTCTTCATGCTGCTGTGAGTTACTGTAAAGCTTCAGGATGGTACCTCTGCTTTGCTGAGACTGCGGGTTTTATGCAGAAAAACTGCTGTCCTGAGTCATTTCTTCTGACAGGAAAAGATCAGCTGGAAGGTTTTGTGATCAGCTCTGTGTGGAGTGTTAACAGCCCACAAATTCTGGAAAATGAGAGAGTAATGCCGGAAAGTCATGCTTATCTTCCCAGTTTGAATACTTTTTTCCTTCCCTTTTCTTTTTAGTATCTAGTGTCTTTGATCCAGGAGAACCTGGGATGGATGTGGGTTTTCTATTTCTTTATTCTAATGGTAAGAAATCTCCTTTTTTAAAGTTCTTTGTCAAAGTTCAATTTGCAATACAAAGTTTTTTTGAGAACCTGAAAATTGTGACTTAGACACGTGATCTATGCTGCAAACTCCGATGCCATTCTCAAAGTACTCTATGATGTGCCTTTGCCTCAGAGTGTCTAAATCAACTGGGTTCATTCTGGATCCTTTAAAGTGACGTTGGCCAGCAGGAACTGAGATTGTGGCAGAGGCATAAAAACACTTGCCTTAAAATATCTGTATGTGTTTCCTAAAGCTCATACTACCTGACTGACTTCCAAGGCAGGATTTTTTCCTCCTTATCTCCATGATATGTAGTTTCCAATATTTTCAGGGACTTGAAGTTAAGCTACATGTTTGTTAGCGCTTGAAAATTAGTGGAAGGAGTGATAAGGATCGTGAAACTAAAATGAAAAGGCCTTGCCCTGATATACCACTGGGGGAGAAGACCCTTCAGGCCCTGATCTCCTCAGCGTTGCCACAGTGGTGAATGCTGTACAATTCACCTGTCCTTCCTTGCTGGAAGTGCCAGGAGTTGTCTTTGCGTCTGTGCTGACGAGGAAAAAGGCTGCTTTGGTAAGGAGCAGAGATGGCCAGGAGGCAGGCCATTGAGGAGGTGAAGAGCTCATCTTCTTTATGAAGAGAATATCATAACAGCTGAAATCGTATGAGATTTCCTGCAAGCTCAGTCCTTCCATCTGCTGTGCCACTGTGTCATTGCTTCCCTTAGCCTGTATCTTTCTGGGGAGGCCTGGAATGTGCGTTGGAGTGCAGGACGGCTGCAGCTACGGTTGCTCTGTGCTGATTGTCCTGGATATGCTTCTTTTCACAGACGAGTTCAACAGTCCTGTTCATTTCACCGTTAATAGTGAGGGAGATCAAATTGCTTCTGCATGAGCGGCGCCTGCGAATGCTGGCTGAGTGACTCCTGCTTGCCTCTGGAAGGACTGTTTGTATGGACCTGACAGCTGGGACACTAATCAAAACTCTGGGAGACTTGTTTCTTACATCCTCCAGGTTTGGACTAATTCAGAATGGCTCTGCAAGACTCGATTGACCTGCCTTTGCGAGCTCAGTTGTGAAGTACCAAATACCCATCCTGAGACCGCTCACATCATGGAGCTGCTGACCTAAGCTAGACAATCCACGGGACTGGCGGATTGTCCCGGCCTACCAGACTCTTCCATGTCAGCAGTCACACTAGGGTCTTCCATTAGGCCATGGCAGTGAGACCACCCTTCTTATTTATTTCTGGATGTCCTGACCAAAGGTCGGCCGTTTAAAACTGACAGTGGAGGAGAGGCTGTGTTGCAATGAATTTTGATGGTCTGTTGTGCCAGTGAAATCATGCAGTGCATTTCATGGGTAGTCTAAATTTATGATCACTTTAGCTTTTAGAAAGGGCAAAAATAATTATTTGGAATTTGCGCTGTCCAGTTGTTTAAAATATGCCGTGGCTAAATCTCCACATAGATGGACCTCTGCTATCCCTAGCTGTTAAGCGTCATGTATTCCAGTAGATTCACATGGAGAAGTTACCTCCATATTTGTTTTTAGCATTTTTTAATAATTATTATATTACTAATCTCTGGGAAATGAGATTTCAGTTTTTAACTATTTAAGCAGACAAATGGCGTGCAATACTTTACTGTGATCTCTGAGAACAGAGCCTTAATAGGTCCCTTTTGTGTCTAAAGGATCCTTGAATGGCTTTGGGGATCAGTAATGGGACACAAATACTTTCACTACTGCTTTGTTATTTGAACTCCAACCAATACTGACCAAAACGGACTGTCAGGTGACCCTCTGAAGGAAGCTGGTGTCACTGATTTCATACTCATTGGGCAATTGCTCTTCTCCAGCAAAGGATAACCAGAATGGAATTAAAGGAATTTAAGGGACCTGGCTGCTCTTGAACATGGGCTTCCAGACAGGGACTGAAGCGTACTCATGGAATAGCATCAGTGGGCAAGTGCTGCTGTCTTCCCCCATGCTCCTCTGCCTATGGCTGCGTAGAGGACCTCAAGCTCCTGGGTTTAAAGCTTGAGTTGTATCTTGAAGAGGAAGGTAGACGCAAGTCAGTGCTAAAAAACACGTGTCTGCACGTGGTATGGTGATATGTGAGTATTTTGCAGTGCTGCAATAAGCAGGGTGACTGACTGACACCTCTGAAGTTCGTTGATGATGTTAATGAGATCGTTGAGTAACTTCTCAACAAATTGTTTTCTGCTTATGCCTTGGGATGTTTCGTTGTAGTAAGTATGTGTTAACCAGCAGAAATTCTGATCAAACACTAAATCTGACTAGTCAGTGATGCCTGGATGGGGGTGGGGGGGCAGGAGAATTCTTGGAGCTGAAAATTTGGAGTTTTTAAATGGGAAATGTTGCCTTTTAAAAACATACAGTGATTTTATTTTTTTTTTTAAATTTATGAATGTCAATTTTTAGTCGTGTTGATTGTAATAAGTGGAACATTATTAGTGCCTTACGGTTCTCCCGTATTGAATGGTTGCTTGGTGATTGCTGCTTCTGCAGCGACGGCTCTGTGCACAGCTTTGCTTACTGTGAAACTCAGTTGCTCTATTTTATACTTTGTTTTTGAGAGTCTTTCTTTTTTGGTAGAGGTGATATCTTGCATTTTTTGCTAACCCTTGGAAAATTTCAGTGCTTGGGAAAATGATGCCATTAAGTTGATGAGGGACCCAAATCCTGTTCTTGCCTCTTCTCATTCCCATTCCAGTTTTTGCCTGTATAATTAGAGCGGAGACTGAGAATCTATCATCCTGTTCCCAGAATTTTGCCCTGGGGTTAGTGTTCACATCCCAAACTACTCATTAGCCCCTGTACAAATAGAATCAAAACTCCCTGAAATTTAGTTCTAAAATTGATGGCGGCACCGTTTGCCCCAGCCACCGTGTCTGAGAATCTGCGGTTTCAAATTCCAACCTGGATGAGCTTTTTGGCTGGCCGTCTGGGCGCTAGATAAGCTTCTGATGAAAGGTGGGGTGGGAAAGGGACGTCGCCGGGGCCAGGGTGGGAGGACAGGCAGGCCCCCGTAACAAATGGTTTCCTGTAAACACTTCGGTCCCCTCTTGAGAAGTGTCGGATGTGTTGCAAGCGCTGCAAACACAAGCTGCCCAGCCGCTCGCCTGTCGGTGTGCAGCGGTGCTTTGAGGCCACCCTCAATTAGCTAGGCTATGACTTCAGGGGCTTTTTGTTGCTGTTGTCCTGGGTTTTTGGTTCTGTGTATTTCCTCAAGGTGCTCAGATGGAGAAAGGTTTTCAATCTGATCATGTCCAAACTGATCTCACATGAATAAACTGACTTTGACTTGATCTGGGCTAATTCTTCCGTGTGCTTTATTCCGCTCTTCTCAGCGCCGTTCTGCTGAACGTGCTTCTCTTCCTCCTTGCTACAGGCCCAGCTCTAGCAGCTGCTTTTTGCTCAGCTGCTGTGAAGACCTGAGCCCTAACTAGCACTGAAACCAAACCCTCATCCCAGCCCAAAAGGGGACCCTGTCTCCTATGCTGCAGTTTGGCACTCTTCCTGAAGCTTTGTGAGAGTCCTCGAACGGAGGTGCCCGTAACGGGGTAATTAACGGTCTGAAATAAAGAAACCAGAACATACACTTGGCTTGCTTTATTTATTTATTTGTTGATCTGCATGCAGAAGTCAGGTGTTTTTCCCTTAAATGTGCCATGTGGCTGCTGGCCCTGCTGTGCCTTCTCTCCCGTGGCTTGTTTCTTTAAACACGAATCCACACCTACGCTTAGCTGTGTTTAAATGGACACAGTGGGGAACTTTGTAATTGTGTTTGCGTTTTATAGTTTACTGTAAATTCAAAGTTGAGCACAATTCTGGATTGCTAGAGAAACCCCCATGCTTGCACAGTCTGGTCCCTCAGCTCTGAGTAGTTCGGTGGTGCCATGGTGCTATCCCTCAAGAAAAGTAACAACTCATATTTTTACCCTTTTTCGGTCACTTTTTTTCCTTCCTACTCATGAGGAACTTCCCGGCCTACTCTGGAAGTACGCTGAGGAGTAAAGCTTTCCTTGAGTAGTGTCTATTTGAAAATGCCGATAGTACCAGTCCCCATCACCACCACTGTGTTGCGATCTCCAGAGCCCGATGTTTGGGAAAGCAGAAGCATAGGAATTACTGAACTTCAGAGTGCAAAGGAAGCACATTAGGAACTGGTCTCTGGGCGTTTGGTTGCAGCCCAGGATGTGACAGACTGTCTGACCAAATTGATTACGAAAGGAAAGGTGTGCTTCAGCCCCAGAATGCTTTTCTGTATCGAGGAAGGTCCTTGCAGTTGATGTCCTACAAGCAATGCTACTGTGTCCTGATTTTCTCAGAAGCCTGGAACCCAACGGTGCAGAAGTCTGCCTGGTGGCACTGTCACAGTGCTCTCCAAAGCAGGAAGAACTGGGCTTCTGCTCAAAGTGCTGGGCAGCCTTGGAGAGCACGTGAGCTTCCTGTCTTCGCCAAACCCAGAAGAGCAGCTTTGCCTTCTGCAGGAAAGCGAGAGGAGAAGGAGCGGTGTGTTTTAAGTTCTTGTTTTCTCCCTGAGATAAAAGGAGAAAGTACCTGTTTTGAGATACAGGCCCACAGATCTCACCAGTAAACGCTCTAACTCAGGGATGTCTCAGACGCTGCTGATCAGCTACTCCTGAGTAATTTTGCCCTCCATCCAGCGGTAGCCAAAGTGCTCTGCCAAACCTATTTGCAATTCCTCCCCGCTTCTTTTCTAACTGAAAGTGCCTACAGGGATGTTTTGGGTTCTGTATTTCAAAAGTTTTCTAAGGCACAGCATGCCCACCTTCCTACCTCTTTGTCAAGCCTTATCTAATCCTTTTAGTAAACAGCCTACCGTTCGCTGAAGGCTGCAAATACAAGCTCTGAGCCCATTTTGTGGGGTTGGATGGGGGGACTGTGTTATGTACAGGTCCATGAAAGCCTCTTGGTTCTATTAAAGACTTCCCTAAATGCAAGTTGCTTAGATGAATATTTACAGTAACGCAAAGAGGAAAAATATTGTCAACTGCTGTGAATGGTCCCTTCATCCCCTTTGATTCTCCCGTGCTGGTGATTATATCTGTGTACATCTGGATCCCAGGAGGTTCTCCTGGAATGTCTCCTTTGACCTGCAACTGTGTGCAGGTGTCTATGAAAACAAATGCAATGGGGAAATCAAAATGTACTCCTGGAGCACGGGAGCAGATAGCAAGCTTTGTGGCTCTCCTGTTAGGTTTAAGATTACTGCCAGGAGAAGAAAGATTTCTGCTGAGATTAGAGAAGCCCAGGTAAACTATTTGGGGTCAATTTACCGTGTTTTGGAATGGTTTTTAAAGCAGCAGATGGCAGTTGATGGACCTCTAGGTGAATTGGTGACGTCTGTGTCCATTGGTGTTCTCACTCAGTTGCCAAGGGCAGGAAATCTGTACACCACCACCTCTTGTCCTTGTGGGCCACCTAAGTAACAACATAATCCAGAGCGTACCAGTGGAACGAGAGCAGATGAGGATAAGATTACTCAGATGTGCTATTTAAATCTTCTTTCCTTATAATGTGGTAAGCAAAGTATTGGGGATTCAGGATGGGTTGATTTCTCTGGGCCTCTGGATTCCGACACTAGCTCAGAGGACTCCTACACCTGGAGGCCTACATCCTCAGCCTTTTCCCGTTTGTCAGGTGGGACCCGTTTCCAGAAACTCACTCATCTGCTCTGGGGTGCACAGCAGAGAAGAGCGACGTTGGGCTGACAAAAGCCGGTGCTTGCCTGCGGCGAGTGCCAAAGATGACAAAGCAATTGGGTAACAGCTGACTGTGCTATTCCGCCGCAAGGATGGGAGCAGCCGAGAGGCAGTTTCATCGGGACGGGCTCCATTATCCGTCCACCTCTTCTTCAGCCTCTTTGCCCTCTGCTGTAACTCTCGCATCCTTCTGGGAATATTAATGTTTCATCTCTTCCAGTCAGAAGCAGGTTCACCCTGGGACTGCTTATCAAGGCATGGCAACGTGCAGG